TCACAAGTAATTGCAAAAATAGAACAGAGCAGCCCTGTGTACAGATCACCGTTTCCCCAGGGGTCCTATCTTACACTACAGTATAACATCAAAACCAGGCAACTGACAATGGCAGAGTTGTCATTTTATCCTGTATATTGTAGATCTGTGTGAGTGGCACCACAATAAAGACACAGAACTTTTTCAGCACCACAAAAGCCTCCCTCTGGCTAGCCCTTTATAGTTAACCTACTCCCTTGCTCCCATCGGGCATCTATATATACCTCTATCTTCCTCCCTTCCTTCCTTTCTTTCTCTCTCCTTCCCTCTCTCTTTCTCTCTCTGCCCTCTCTCTCTCTTTTCCTGTCTCTCTCTCTCTCCCTCCCTCTCTCTCTCTTTCTAATAACAGCTTCATTGCTATTGCCATATGGTTCTATCCTAAGCTCTGAGGTGGACGGTGAGGAAGCGTACTGCCTGTGTCACCTTCTCAAGTGACCCAGGGGCAGCAGAATGTTAAGAATGTGTGTTCTAGAGCCAGACAGCCTGAGTTTGAATCCTGGCTCTGCCCTTCCCTTGCTGCATGAACTCAGGTAAGAACTTCACTGTGCCTCTATTGCCTCATCTCAAAACAGTAGTACCTACACACAGAGCTGCTGTGAGGGTTCAGGGGATCAGGAATTTGTAGACAGGATCTACAATACGACCAATTATGCTGTAAGTGCTCGATACACATATGATTAATAAAATCCTGGTATATGACCTTCAAAGTGTTGTCTAGGAACCTGTATTTTTAAAAAACTCCTCAATGACTGATTAACAGCCAGATTTGGGAAACACTGAAGAGGAGGTATCTCCTCTTCTTCTACTCTTAGGAGTTTTGGCCAACCTGAGAATTCAAGCTGTTTGTATGAAGCCTCCAGATCCACTCCCTGGGCCTTTGGAGGGGTTCCTTCAGTCACACTGGCGACACCTCAAACAAAGGGGCGCTGGGCTTGCCGCAGAGGCTCTCAGCAACTCCTGAAGCATGGGATGAAAGAAACTGACACGTTGCAAAGGTCCTGGTTAAAACATTACAGGCATTAGTCATGTAATAACAAGCAGCAGAGCAATTCTTACTGGCAATGAACCTGCATATTAGGGCCTTAAGCATCTATCTGATATTGTGAAAGAACTGGGATATTTGCATGGGTGTAAGAAACTGATGCCACCTCCCCTTATTTTTCAGTTTGGCTGCAATGTAAAGGTAGAACTCTGCTAACCCCCTAAAGGATGGCAAGTTCATGGTCACTTTGTTTGCTCTCACTTCCCACTTTTAGGCTGTGTAGAAACTTTAGTCACAGATTGTATATGCAGTGGTTCTTACTGCCATCATTTAAAGGTACATGCACTGATACTTCTGTCTTAGAATATATTGTCTTAGGATGATTTATGTTTAACTATATCGTTTGGAGAAACTGATTGTTACAGAGGACTCAGAAGCTTATCCCAATTAACTCCAAATATAAGACTTTGATTTAACCAAAATGAAAGATTCCGATTTGATTAAACAGAAGGAATTCTAAATTTGTCCAACTCTACAAATATGAGAGTAAAGGCATTCTGATGCTTTGTACAAAATGTTAGCTATGTGACCTAGCCCTAAATGCTGATATGGCCAAGTCAAGTACATATGCTCTGTCTTACGCCAAGCCATGTGAATAAGCAGAGTGTGGTATCGTTTCATTTTGTTTATTTTGGGAGATTTGAGATAAATATTTTAAATTCTATCTAAAGAATATGTTTTCCCCAACTCCAAACAATGCCAGCTATTTGTTAATGAATGAATAGGCTGGCAACCTCAGGATTCCATACTATTTACATTTTATACATATTTAAAATCAGGTGTGTTTGTTTTAGTCCCAGCTAGCTAGCAAAATGGTGCCCAAATCACTTAACCTTGCATTTTCTTCATTTGTAAAAAGAACAAATAGGAGTAAAGAAGTTGTTAGCTCCCTTCAGGCTCTAAAACTTCAGTGGTTCCCTGAGTAAATTTATAAAATCAATACTATTATCTACTTTTGGGCTTCAATTTCACTAGTAAAATCGGGGTACATCTATCTCATGGTGGTTTGAGGATTGAGATAATTTGTGAAGACACCACTAAATGATCCTTGACACATAGCAGAAATTTGATAAAAATTATCTTCCCATCTGGAATGTCAACCCACAAAAAACAGAGAAACTGCCACTGATAGAAAGAACATCATCATCATTTCAAGAAACAGCAAGTCCCTGTTATGCTCAGTGTTAGCTATTCTCACTAACATACTAATTTCCAATTGACTGAATTAATTCAAAGGTATATCCTCAAAATTAAAATTAATCTCTATCAACCTAGTGATACTCTTTCCCTCATGGAAACTCATTTTTTAAACTACTATATTGCTTATACCATCCACTACCCTTCCCAAAATGGAATCGCAACTTAAACTTGCAAATCTAGTTGGTCCATATCTCCAATAAATTTTATACATCATACAAAATGTAACAAACTCAGTAGTAACACATAAAACACAAATTACAAAGTTTGACACTTGATAGGGGGCTTTGAAAACATGGTGAATCATAGGTTCTTCTACTTCAGTGAGCATCAGAAATGCTTGAGCCTATTAAAACACAGATTCCTGGGCCTCACACCAGTTTCCCGTTCAGTGGATCTGGAGTGGGTTGGAGAATTTGCATTTTTAACATGTACCAGGTGATGATGATCTGCTGGCCTGGAGACCACACGTTAAGAACCACTGGGATATATTAAAGTCAAAGATACATGAGAGACTTGTGGCATACAGGTATGCAGAACAAATAAAAAAGTTATTAAACACTAAAGTGTGACAACAGAAAAGAATGAGAAAAAATGATGAGACAAGAAACTCTGATTTCATCAAAGCAGCAGGGAGGTATGCAAACACTGATCAATCAGAAGGGATAGCAACTAGAGGCCTGGTGCAGGGTCCTAGAGCTCTTGGCTGGGCTGGAAGTGAGCCCTCCGCTTCTAGAGAGGCAACAGGGCAGTCTGGGGTTTCAGAAGAGTGACTGGGACCCTTGCTTGGGCTGCTCGGGCAGTGATCTTTACCATTCAGTACAGAATCAGCTGAACATTTTAATAAGCAGAATATCCATCAGGGTGTGTTCCGACTGAAAAGCAGCACTCCAAGACAGGATTGGGAGGAGCACAAAGGATGCCTGCGCACAAGGGGAAGTAGTGCGTAATGCTGGTATCAGAAAGCTGCCTGGGTGTAGTTTACTTTGAACTCGGGGGTTGTTCCTAAGGAATGAGTTATTAACAAGTCTTCGTTCTGTTTCCTAAAGGACTAAGAGATATAATGGGAAAAGTTCTAGCCTGCCCAGGATTTAAAGCAGTATAGAAATAAAAATAAATGTGTCTCAAGTGGCAGCCTAAAGGGAACCTAGGCTGGGCTCCAAGACTCCTGCATATCCAGTAGTTTTGTGTTGCTTGTACCATAACCTTACATACCTTTGTAAAACAAGCAAAAACCCAAATAAAGAAACAAAAACTTCACAACATGTCTTGCTTGATGTAATTTTGTAGAGGATTCACCACTAAGAATTGCGGCCACTTAGGAGAATAGTTCTCCACAGGTTATAGTATAAAGCAGTCTTCTCAGACTTTAATAGGTGCACATATGGATCTCGTTAAAATGCAGATTGTGATTCAGGAGGTCTGAGGTGAGGCCTGACCTGCATTTCTAACAAGTTTTCAAGTGGTATGAATGGTATTGGTTCATGAACCAGGCTTTGAGAAGCAAGGGTAAAGTAGTGGTTTGCAACCTAACCTGCAGACAAGAAACACCTGGGGAGTTTTTACAACTCCTAAAGCCCAGACTTTATTCCAGATGAATTAAATCAGTACCCAGGCATCAGTATTTTTCAAAACGTCTGGGTGGTTCCTATTTTCAGCCAAGGTTGAGAACACCTGCTTTAAAGTGTAATGCTCCCCTATGAAACCCTGGAACAATTATCAAGGAAATACCATAGTCCAAGTGGAGAGCATCTAGTATTTTATCACCAATCCTAATCAGTGTGAACAGTAAGAATACGAATACACAGTTTTAGCTCACTGTTAATCCTTCTCTAGTTTTGTTGAAAGTTATTTAAATATTACACAAGGTTTAATACATGTTAAAACTGTATTATACGCATGTAAATCAATGAAGTTAGAACACTCCCTTACATCATACACAAAAATAAAATGAAAATGGCTTAACTTAAATATGACATGACAACATAAAACTCCTAGAAAAGAACATAGGCAGAACATTTTCTGACATAAATCGTAGCAACGTTTTCTTAGGTCAGTCTCCCAAGGCAAAATAAATAAAGACAAAAGTAAGCAAATTGGACCTAATCAAATGTAAAAGCTTTTGCACAGCAAAGGAAGCCATAAACAAAGCGAAAAAACAACCTGCGGACTGGGAGAAAATATTTGCAAAGGATGCAACCGACAAGGGCTTAATTTCCAAAATATATAAACAGCTCATGGAACTTAGTAACAAAAAAACCAAACAACTGTATCAAAAAATGGGCAGAATATCTAAACAAGACATTTATCCAAAAAAGACATACAGATGGCCAACAGGCGCATGAAAAGATGCTCAATATGGCTAATTATTAGAGAAATGCAAGTCAAAACTACAATGAGGGACTTCCCTGGTGGTGCAGTAGTTAAGACTCTGTGCTCCAAATGCAGGGGGCCGGGGTTCAATCCCTGGTCAGGGAACTAGATCCCACATGCATGCCACAACTAAGAGTATGCATGCCACAACTAAGGAGCCTGCGAGCCACCACTAAGATGCGGCGCAACCAAATGAATAAATAAATATTAAAAAAAAAAGTTGACTCGTGCCTTCATTTGGTCTGGTGTCAGATGGTTATGTGCTAAATAAATACCGTGTGAGAAATATCCTGAGAAAAGAAATACCTTTCTTTGTTTGAAGGCTGATAATGAGACCTCACTTACTTACTTGTCTGTACTCTCACGCTTCTGGCCATAGGTTGGATCAGTCAAAAACCGAGTTTCTTGTTTACATCCAAGCAAATCTCCAACTAGTGTAGTTGATGGAACAAATATTCATAGTCATGAGGGTACAGAAGCATCCCACTGATTCGATTTTAGGGTTAGGAAAGGCTTCAAGTTTAGGTAAAAAATGATAAAGCACTTATGCAGTCTTCTTTTTTGGGGTTTCCATAGAAAAGCAGATCTCAAAAGCAACTGATGTTATTTTATTAGACTAAATGCACGTAATTAAAATTAGATGATAAATACAAATAGCTGAAAACAGCGTTAAATACAGCTTTTATAACCTAAGTTTTACCATTTGATATAAGCATGGATGCACCTCTGAATATTTTTGTGAGTTGGGCATCAGATGGCGCTCACCCTTACTAAAAGCCTGAGCTGTGACAGAATATTAACAGGCATTTCGAAAACCGGCCCTGACGCCAAGCAATTGTGCTTTACGGTCAAGTCTCTTTTTAAGTTTCGGTTTCTTCACCTGTAAAGTGGGGGTGGGAACAGACCAGATGGATTTCCAACCCGTAGCGTCTTTCTTTCTTTGATTCTTCGACTACAGCTGTGGCACAGACTGGCTGCTGCTACCGCTGGCTGAAATCGCCAGATTTAGATAAGTCAGGGTGGGAAAGCGTAACAGAGGTAGACAGTGTGCGTTCCCGGCTGGAAGGCAGGAGACCGCTTTCGGTGTTTCAGCCGCTCACATTACGTGGGCGGCGGAGCAGAAACTCCTTAACCGCGTGGTGCCTCCATTTCCCTGGGGTGTCCCAGCACAAGGTTACAGAATTCCAGCAAAATCGACTTTCAAGGAAAAAAGCGCGGGTCCTACGAAGCATACTTATGCAAGCACGTTGGGAACGCGGGAGGACAGTACTAACTTAATTCTTTCTCAACTAAACGCCTGAAAACAACTTCCGCCCAGCGGGTCTCAGGTCTGGGAAGTGCTGCCCCGGAGGTCACGTGGGACCAAGCTGGTCGTTCGCGAGGACTCCGTCGCCACATCATGTAGGTTGTTCCATCTAAGCCGGGGGGAAGCCTTCTCTATTACAGGAACGAGAAAAGCCCAGCCGCGCCCTGTGTGGCAACCTTAGGGCAGATAAGAGTTTCCTGTGTCTAGGCAGTTTCTTCGCTTGGCCGGTACAGTCGCTTTGGGGAAAATCTTGCCTCAGTTTCCTCTCGATTCCTCTGTTCCCCCTTCCGTAGGATTCCAGTTGGTATCGCCGGCTCCCCGCCTCCGCACGCCGCCCTCACGTGACACCGGCGCGCTCCCGCGGGGGGAGCCGGATCTGAGAGGCGGCGCCGCAGGAGACGGAGGGACGGGCGCAACGTTGGGTGTCTTAGCTTTTGCTCCAAGGCCAGCGCGGAGGACGCGATGTCGGGGCTCTTTCGCCCGCTGCTTTTGGCCGCTGGCTGCCTGGCCTCGCTTTGCGTGATGACCGCAGCTCAGAACACCACCCTGGCCCCGAACACGACTGCACCCTCGGTTCTACCGACCACCACCACCACCACGACAGCGCCGGTGCCGCCGCAGACCCTCCCGACGGTCACCACTCCAGCACCAGGTGGGCGCCGGCCCAACGGGCTTTCTGCTCTCGCCCCCCCGCCGGCCCTCTCCCTGCCGGTGGTGCGCGCGGGGCCGGGGCGGGCCGCGGTCCGGCAACATGGCGGCCCGTCCGAGTCCGGCCGGGGACGGGCCGAAGTGGCCGCTGTTGGGGATCGCCCCGGGCGGAAGGGGCGGCTGAGCCTTGGGGCCGTTGGGCTGTTTCCGGCCCAACAGTGTCCTGCCCGCCTGGAGGTGTTGTTTAAAAGTGCCTCGTAATCTCCATCCTCACTTCAGGCTCCGAAGAGGGGACGTGGCTTTCTTCCGTGGTGGCGGCAGTGAGGTTGATTATGGGGCGAGGCTACCGCCTCCAAAGTTGGCGATGAGACCGAACTCCCTCTCTCTGGGGTTAGTCGTTTGTCCACCCAGGTCTTCTTTTCGAAGGGAGGCTTCTCCCGAAGTTGGCGAAAGAAGGAAAGAGACGCTGCAAACTAATGCTTGCTGGTGTCTCAGTCCTAGGTCTGAAAAAATAAGTCGTTTGATATTTAATTATATCGGTTTTGCGGATAGGTATGGGATATATTTGAGGCTTGAGCATTTAATTAATTAAAATTTTGCACTCCGTGCTGTGTGCAAAGGAGAAAAAGTACCCATTCGTGTACCCGGTGCTTCGCATGTATCTGTTAGTATTTTAGGCTAAACTAGAAGATAAGTGGTGAAACCTAGGAGGTGGATGGAGATAAAGTAACTCCGCCAGAACCGTGTGTTTAGTAGATTGTGAGGCTGAGATTGGAACCCAGGTTTGTCGTTCTTCTAAAACTAGATCAGGACCTTTTGTTAAGCTCTGCAGTCGATTTGGAGACTGGTTGAGGCATACACTGAATCTTACAGCAGAAATTGTCAATGCCGTGACAACACGCACGAGAGGAGGGAAGATAAATTTTAAATTAAGGTGAAGAACCTTAGATATTTAAAACTTGCAGTCTAGTGTGATTGGTTATCCTAGTTAATATTCGGTAAGGAGTAACTGGCATATAGACCGAAGACTTGAAGTGTAAGAATTTTTACCTTTTTTTTTTTAGGCCGATCACGTTGTTTTACAATATCTTCTCTAGTTTTTGTATTTTGTAGGAGTTTAATGACATATATAGTAAACTTAATGTTATTTGTTAAATTTAGAAAGATGTAATGGTAAAATTCAAACATCTTTTAATGAAGAAAGGAAATTGCAGTACAATACTGGAGATTCTAACTGCACTATTTCTAACATGATAGAGCAGAATTTGTTTTCCGCTTATTTGGTAGTTTCCTCCTAGAATTTTTTTCGGGGGGGGGTTGGGGTGGGGTGTGTGTGTGTTTAAAGAGAGGCTTGGAAATATGTTAATTGCATTTGTGTAATTGAAATGAGTGCAAAGGAGATGATTTGTGTTTTATGTTAAGTGGTGGTTGGATAAACTGCAGCCGGAAAGGCAGCAAGTTTAGTTCATTGTAAATAACATACACTATGCTACCCAAATATTCATCATCAAGCACAGAAGATTTTAAACAACTAGCATTTTTCATGTGTATACAAACCTCTGAAGAACTTATTTCTACTTTGTGACTCCCTGCCACTCCCCAAAGGGTACGGTATATGTACCAATCTCTGATAAATATTGAAATGCAATGTGTTTATGCAGAACTATTTTTTAGGCACGGGGAAAGCAAATGAGAATGTTTTTTGGAGGCATCTAGCTTCTAGGAAAATGTATAGAGCCTAACTCTATAGTCCATTTGTTTGTCCAGACTTTGAATTGTAGTTAGCTGCCTTAGATGTCCTGTCTCAGAGCCGTTTGGCTTAAATTATTGACAAAGACCTTGCTAACTTGTTAAATTATGTGACTGTAGCCCCCTCCAGATGTGTTGTCTCTTATCCTCCCGTCATGGAAAACCCCGGAGAGAGCGGACCGTTTATGAATTACCGATCTCAGATTTTTCAGGATAGGCATCATCGGAGCTTGGGTTCAACCTGTAATAAATCTTTATCACTATTAAAAATTGCAGTTCACATCTCATGTTTTGGGGCAGTGATTTCCTTGTGTATAGTGTTGGCCTCGCAACAGCCTTTTTTCCAGTATTTTTCTTTTTTAAGGAACACTCAAGAAACTCTTGAGTGTCTGAAATAGTTGCTGTGCAAAAAGGGGTTGTTTAGATAGGTACCAAGAAATATTGAGCGTTCCCACTAGCTTATGCTTTTTCCCCCCTTTCTCTTGAGTTGACTTCTGGCTTCATAAGTTTTTTATAATGATAGGAATTTTTTAGTAAGCCACTTTATAATGTTTTTTTTTTCTGTGTGTGGTTTTAAAAGAACACGTAAGATCTACCCTCTTAATAGATTTTTACGTGTACTGTACAGTATTAACTATTAGCACAGAAGATCTCCAGAATTTTTCATCTTCCTTGAAGCTTTATACTCATTGAACAGCAAACCTCCATTTCCCCTCTCCCAGCTCCTGGCAACCACCATTTTACTTTCTGCTTCAGACTTTGACCATTTTAGATACTTTATATAAGTGGAATCATGCAGTATTTGTTCTTCTGTGACTGGCTATTTTCACTTAGCATAATGTCCTCAAGGTTCATCCATGTTGTAGTGTATAAAAGGATTTCTTTTTTTTTAATGGCTGAATAGTATTCCCTTGTATGTGTATAACACATTTATCCATTCATCTGTGGATGGGTTATACAGTTTTGCCATTTTCTTGAAATAGTAAGTCTGGTACTGTATGTAATACTTGCTGTTGTTTAAAAACGGTAACTAGTACAAACTCAAAATAAGATACCAATTAATTGATTTTATATATTTTAACCCCCACTCCTACCCCCAGAAATCTGTGAAAGCCGCAACAACTGTGTTTCCTGTTTTGACCCTAATGCTGCTAACACTACCTGCTTTTGGATAGAGTGTAAAGGTAAGAAACTTTGGGATTGCTTCAATTTTGAGAGTTCAGTATTGTTTTGTTCTAACATTTAAAAAATACTGCAAGGTATTCTTGAACACTTGAAACTTACGTAAAACATTTGGGATGGTGTGCATTACTTATTTTGCAAATCAAATACTTTTCCTTTAAACTTAAACCAATTGCTTAATACTCTCCCTAAAATCTTTTGTTGTCTCCCATGCTCCCCCCTTTAATTTCTTAGACTTGATAATTAAGGCTCGATAGCTTTAAAAGGAGAAGAAATTTTAGACCTTTGTGGTTAGGTTAAGTGTACTAGTACTCTGAAATTAGCTGTGAGAGAAAGCTGTGGAATTTTCCCCTGAAAACTGTTCCCCAGTAAAATGTTTGAGGCATTTATCTTCTGTAGATGTCCTACTAGATGAACTATAAAGAGACCTTATGAAGCATTGTTGGATACTTAGATATGGGAGAATGAGGTGGGAAAAGAGTGACTTTTTTTGTGCTACTGTTAAGTTTTAAAGTTGTCTTTAATTTGATTGAGGGATAAAGAGCTAGATGGAGATAGTTTGAAATGCCAATAAGGTTTTTGTTAGAACCACCGGATTACAGCATAAATTATTCTGTTTTCTTAAGGTAAGATGGTTGCATTTTTTTCTTATCAGTAAAACAATTTCTCAGGTTTTTTGTTTTATATATAAAGAAAAAGCCAAAGCTACATGTTAAGCTTTTTATTCTTCATTGAAAAATTGAAGAGTTCTGGCAATTATGTCACTACGTAACAAAGTTTAAAAGCCTCTTTTAAAATTAAGGTATTAGCTTAAGTTTGAATTAAATTAACTTTTTTGTTGTATAAGGGTCACTTTTCTTTAGGTGATAAAATGGAATTTAAGAGTGTGCCCCTCCCCTCTTGTATGGCAGAGTTGGCAAGTTTTGGAGATTGAATGCCTGCCTTACTGTAGGATATGTTGGGGAAGGCTTTCCCTTGCTGGTGCTACAAGTCTTCCCATCCAGGAAAGTGGTTTTAGAAAGTGTAGAAGACTAAAGCAGAGATCTGGAACAGAGATCCCACTGCTGCTATGGGGCACCTCTCATGTTTACTAAGCCTTTATTAGTTTCTAAGGACTTCCCCCTACTGACTCAGCCCTCTTGTGGATTCTAGCAACCTTCCTGGTATAGTACCACAATTCTGAGATATACGTGTTTCTGACTTATCTGTTCAGTATATTCATGTGGATTTTAAAAGGATGTTTGGAGAGATCCTGTGTAATATGTCTAAAACAAGGGGAAAAAGATAATAACAAAGTATTTTGTTTATCTGTGGACTTCTAGAGAGTTTATACCTGAGTTCGATTTTTGGAAGCAACTCTGGAGCATAGTAACAAAGTCAAAGATAATGTGAATAATTGATCCTCTTCCCGTCCCCTTCCAATAACAGGTAAAAGCTACTGTTCAGATAATTCAACAGTTAGTGATTGCAAGGTGGTGAACAGCACCGAATTCTGTACTGGTAAGTATTCACATTGGCGTCTGGGAAAAGTGGCTACAAAGAGGTAAGGAAGATCATTGCCTCGGGAAGCCTTATTTCAATATTTGGTTTAAAGCATTTCCATAATTCTAATCTCATTACAAACTTGGATCTGAATAGTATATTCATATTGATTGCTGAAAGGACAGTGTTCTGAAGCTTGATTTAGTCATTTGCTGGTACATACCGT